CCTGGCGGATCCTAATGAAATCACTGGAGCCGCGCGGTGTAAACGGGAGAGGGACACCGGCCCTGCAGGACAAATAAAAGGTTCCCTCTCCTCCTGATTAATGCATAAAATTAACCCAGGTTTAACCTCCAACTCCTGACTGAGTGAATCACTGCAAGGCCCCCACTCAGGGTGGCTTTTCCACGGGCATTCAGACCTTGCTGGTGCCCCCAGCTACCTGGAGTGTTGTGGGACTGGCCTGGAGCAGGATGCTCTGCTCAAACTGCCCCTGTGGACTCCAGCAATGACTCTGCCATCACCCCAGCAGTTCCTGGCTGTCCTGGTTCTGCTTTTGGGGATTAAAGAGATTGCAGAAGTTTGCAGTGAGACTCTGAGTCACTTCTCCTCCCTGTGGCTCCAGACAGGACCGTGCTGGTGGTCCATGTTCCATGTTCCTGCCCAGCAGGCAGCCCCCCAAAACGCAGGCGCTGTTTGCTCTCAGGGATCAAACACTGAGGGGAGGAAGAGGATTTAAACCAGCCAGGAGCCCCATCCCTGCCACTGTGCCCCAGCTCACTCCCCAGCTGCCCATCCCTCAGTGCTGGCACCAAAAGGGCTGATCCCAACCGTTCCTCCCTGGTTTGCATTTCCTGACAGCCGCCTATTAAAGCAGGCCCGGGTTGCCGTGCCGGGGAGGCTCCGATAAGTGGATCCACATGCAATATTCATGGATGGCTTCAGAATAGTTACAGATCCATCACGCTTGGCAGCGGGACGGCGCACTCCTAATGCTGGGCTTAAGCACCTTTTTGAGCCGGAGCCCTGAGGATGGATGAGCGCAGAGCTGCGCCGGAGCCGGGGGGCTGGCACGGGCTCCACTGATGGCACCTCCCCACTCTAACCTTCAAAGCCCCCTGCCCACTCCATAGCCCCCTCCCACCTCCAGGGAAGCCCTGGGAAGCTTTTGGGGACCTGTGGCTGTGGGGTATCCCCAGCCACCCCATGATCCACTGCTCTTGCCCAGGTTGGAGGGATTGGATATGGTCCCTCAGCGCAGTCAAACTGAGGGAGTGCGGCCGGAGCTTAATTCCCTCACTCCGGGAAAGGTTTGTTTACCAGCTTCTGGCCAGCACCACACTGCAGCTCCAAACCCAGCCTCATCCCCCAGGATTAATTTTTACAAAATCATTCTGGAGTCTGTGATAATCACTCCATAAAAAAAATGAAGAGATTTGGGATTTTTTCCAGCACAGAGGATTAGGTCTAAAGACAAGTAATCTGCGGGAAGCTCAGCTGCATGCACACCACTAATCGCTCCCAACTCTTCCCAGCTTTAGCCTTTTCATTAGGATTTTGCACAGTGGGGCTGCTCGTCCTTGCTGAGGTTGGCTGACACGGGCAGGCAGACACATCCTGAGGGACACGGCCGTGTGCCAGCCCACGGGGGCACAGCAGCAGCCTGGCAGGGTGGCAGTGCAGTGAATCCCTGCCGTGTCCTGCTTCCCCACGGTGCCCTGTGTCCCTACGGAGCTCTGCATCCCCGTGGTGCTGGGCACACAGCTGGGCTAGCTGCCTCTTGCTCCGCTCCAGAGAAAAGCCTCTGGATGTCTCCAGTTCCTTTGGGAAGGAGGTGCAGCAATTGGCATGGAAAATATCTGACGCAGCTGGTGGGATCGTTTTAAAATGTAATAAACTATTAAAAGAGATGATGAGCTTAAAGCCTGAAGCCTTCAGTAAATTCCCGGTGGTTTAACTAGGGAAGAGTAAATAATAACCTGGGAGCTGGCGACTTCCCCATTCCAGGGGCAGTTGTCTCCATGTTCCCCTGAGTGCCCAGGAACCTGTGTCACTTGCTGGCCTTGCCAAGCCCAGCTTAACTAACCCTGGTCCTGCACTTGGAGCAACAGCAAGCAGAGGAGGTAACAACACGCACACCCACCAGTCCCTCCCCTTGGATACCCCAGGATTATTCCCATTGTTTCCCACTGAGGCTTGGGGTGTAATTCCTGTAAATTCCTGGTGGGACTCAGCCGGCTCCTGGAGCTGCCAGAAGGGTGAGGGCTCAGAGGCTGAGAGAAAACACTGCACGTTTTACATTCTGTTGTGTCCAGCAAGCGTTTTTCCAAATATAATTAAAATAAGTACATCTCTGGGACCGGTCTGACCACAGGGAGGAGGATGCAGTGCCAGGGTTTTAAAACAAAATAACGTAAGCACTTAGAAAAGGACTCGAGCAGACTTTGGGTACTTATGTTCCAAATAATTGTCCCAGGAAACCCGATTCAGCAGCCACCCAGGCTGAAAGCACTTAGGCACAGTGGGCAGGCGTTCAACAAAGCATTTAGAGACCCCGGTGCTGCATCAGCAGGAACCTCGGGGCTCCGGCCGGGAGTGACTCAGGGAAACCGCGGGGCTTGCGGCTGACACGGACAGGGTCCCGCCTGGGTCCCGCCTGGATCCTGCCTGGGTCTCGCTAGGGTCCCCTTGGGATCCCACCTGGTTCCAGCCTGAGTCCTGCCTGGCTTCCAGCGGGGTCCCAGCAGGGTCCCCTCTGGCCCCCAACACCCATGGCAGTGTCCCTGTTGTGCCCCCCTGTTTGCAGCTGCCTCCTGTGGCTGCTGCCACTGCTGTAAGGGTTGGGGTGCAGGGGGTTCGTTAGCAGGGGTTCATTAGCCCAGCAGTGTTCCAGGAGCTGCAGGCACTCACTCCTCACTGCCTTCCCCCAGAAACGTGTTGTCAGTCCAGGCAGAGCCACTGCAAACCAGCAGCCTGGGCTGCTAAAGGCGGCTGTGGAGGGAGAAGGCTCCTGGTAATAAATTTATGGATCTACACACCCCAGCAGGCTGACAAACACCTTTTAAAGTCTCTTTAAAACCACTTGGAGTGCAGTCAGGCAGATTGAGACCCCTTATACTTGGAGACCCTAAACAGCAGCTTCAAAGGACAGAGGGAAAAGGTGGATTTCAGCAGGGGCAAATCTTCAAAGCACAACTTTCCTGTACAGTTAAAAAGACCCTGTCCCATTTCCATAAGTCCAAAAGTGGGAACCTTTCCTAAGTGCCCAGTTGACCCAATGGGTGGGACACTGCCTTCCCTGCCCCTCATCCTGGAGGCAGCTGCAAAGCAGCCCGTGAGCAGTGCGGGTACCCAGCCCAGCAGCTCCTCCCGAGCCTCCCACAGCCCCTAATTGAGGCGAGGCGGCTGCGGGCAGAGCCGTACCTGGGCCTGCGCTCCCGCACAGCCTCCGGCGAGCAGAGCTGGGTGTCAATTACGGGAAAATCAATGGAGATACTGCTCAGGACTCCTTCTCACCATTCAGCACGGATGATATCCTTCACTTTCTAGCACTGATTCATTTACTTTCAGCCTCTCCAGGGGCTCCTGACATATTGCTATCTCGCAAGAATCTGAAGCAAGAACTGCCTTTGTTTCCACTGCAACTTGTTGGTTGCGGGGCCGCGGGGTTGGGGCTCACAGAGGGTCAGGAGAGAGGCTGCGGCGCACGGCAGGGTTGGAACATTTCTTACCAGAACACCTTTCCAAGGTGCTCCCAGACCTCATTTGCATGGGCAGGATAAGGGGAGAAAGGGGCCCAAACCTGGGGCTGGAGTGCCAGCCAGTTGGTTTATCCTGGGAAGGCTGGGACATCACTGGGACAACACTACCCGTGTTGAGGCTGGGGACACCATGGGTGGACAGCAGGCACCATGTGAAAGTCACATAAAAACCTGTATCAAACAGCTGTTACATCCTACATTCCCAGCCTTTCCTCTCTCCACCTAAGCTACAGGCATCCCACAGGAGCGGGATATAGACCTCGGGCATGCTCAGGTCGAACTCCCACTGCAGGCTGGAGAACCACGCTGTGACACAAACCCCAGCCCTGCAAGCTGCTCGTGCTCCTGCTCTTCAAAGAGAGCCTCGTGCATGGAGAGCGGGTAGGATATAGCCCAGAGCAAGGACGGGGCTACAAAGACAAGATTTATTATTTATAAGGCACTTCAGTGAACTCAGGGCTGGGAGGCAGAGCAGGCTTGGGGGGAAAGCTTTGTGAGAGAAAAATGGAGTTTGAAAGAACACTGAGAGCAGTGCAGCATGCAGAAGTCATGCTCATGAGGGACATTCCTTGGATCAGAAGTCAGGCTCTCTTGGAGTTCATGTGGAATTTGCTGCGTGATTTAGGGGTCAGTTTAATGAACCTTGCCCCAGACATCAGGCTCCTAAAGAACAAGGGTCTTGCAAGCCTACACTGGTTCTGCACAGCCCAGCACAGGGTCCTACAGCCCTGTATGTGCCATCTGTGGTGTCACAGGGAAATGATGACTGGGGACATGGGGCACCCACCCGGACACAGCCACAGTGCCCCCAGCAGCCCAGGCTCCCCATGGCTGAGCCAAACTCAGCCCCCCACACACCCAGAGAGTCTGGGGGATCCCTGTGGCACTGGAGTTGCTGAAAGGTTCCTGTGGCTGCCAGGTTGAGACCCCCAGCCACTCCAGGCTTTTGGGGATCACTGCAGAGCACCCCAAGGCAGTGGGAAGGGTGTTCTGGGCACCCCAGGCTTGCTGGGGGCACACTGGGGATGTCAGGGTGGGCACACTTGGGCTGGGTACTGGGCCCTGCTGGGAGGAGACCCTGGGGCTGCCTGGAGGGGAAACCTGGGGCTGTTGGGGAGCACAGCGGGGTTGTAGCAGCGGTACCAGCACTGCCGGGGCGGCACAAGGGCTTTTCGGAGGGCACTGGACCTGTCGGGGGGGAATCCTGGGTCTGTTGGGGGCCTCACTGGGACTGTCGGGGGGAGCGCCGGGGCTGTCGGGGTGCACCGGGCCGGTGCACCGGGGCCCCCCGGGGCCGGCAGTGCCTTCTCCGAGGCTGCGGGGGGGCCGTGCCAGGGCCGGGGGGGGGGCTGGCGGCGCCGCCGGGGCCGGTGCTGCCTCTCCCGGCTGCCATTTCAGCGCTCCATCCCTCCATTTTCCCTCGGAGCGCGGCGGTGCTGGCCCGGCCCCGGCCCCGCCGCCGCCCCCATGTAGCGCCGCGGCCGCCCCGCACCCGCCCAGCCGCGGGGCCGCCTCCGGCATGCGGAGCTGCAAGATGGTGCGGGTGGCCAGCGTGCTGGGGCTCGTCATGCTCAGCGTCGCGCTGCTCATCCTCTCCCTCATCAGCTACGTCTCGCTCAAGAAGGACAACATCTTCGGGGCACCCCGCGCCGCCGGCCCCGCCGGGCCCCGCATGTACATGTTCCACGCGGGATTCAGGTGAGCGCGGCCCGGGGTGCTCGGGATGCCCGGGATGCTCGGGGGGCCGGGATGGCGGCCCCCGGTCCCGCCGCAGCGGGGATGCGGCTCCATCCGCGCCCGGCCCGGCCCGGGGAGCGGGAGGGACCGCGGGAGCGGGGACGGAGCGCCGGGCGTGGGAACCGCAGCCCAGGGATGCTGAGGGGTGGGAGGGCTCCGGCACCGAGGGGTGGGGGGAACGGCGCGGTACGGGTCGGAACGGGTCAGAACGGGTCAGAACGGGTGTGAAGGGGTCGGTACAGCCCGGAAGGGCCCCGTCCGGCCCGGTACAGCCACATGCCGCGGGGAGCGGCGGGCGCTGTCCGCGGTGCTGATGGCGACGGCCGCGGGGGCGGGCCGGGCACGGCCGCTAACGGGCTGCGGGTCTGTGTGCGTGTGTATTGCGTGTTTGTGTGTTGCGCGGGTGTCTCTGCCTGTGCCTGCGTGGGTGTCTCCCTGTGCCGTGCGTGGGTCGGTGCCCGTGCGCCCTTCCCCAGGTCCCAGTTCGCGCTGAAGTTCCTGGACCCCTCGTTCGTCCCCATCACCAACTCGCTGAGCCAGGAGCTGCAGGAGAAGCCCTCCAGGTGGGCCTTCAACCGGAGCGCCTTCGCCCACCAGAGGTGAGCGAGCCCCTGGGCACGGCCCGGGCTGTCCCCTGCCCCCCGGGATTTAAGGGAATGCACTCAGGGACTGCTGAATACTCTGAGCTCTGAGGGATTTGCCAGCGGCGAGAGACAAAGGCTGAATCAGAGCGTTTCCCCAGACGGTTGCAGCTACCCTGGAAGCCTTGATTATTTTAGAGCAGGACACCAGGCTGCAGCACACATTATTGTAGTGGAACGTGACCCAGTTTCCTGGTGCGCGATTTAAAGTGTCGTTACTCCAGGATAAATGGCTGGGGTTTCAAACTGGAAGCACATAGGGCTGGAACAGCCACCAGTGCCATGTTCATGGAGGCCAAAACACGCCCAGGGAAACTTCCCAGCTGCCGGCAGTTCTGAGCAAGTGCAGTGCTGCTCCTGCCTCCGGCTCCGCTCCGGCTGCGGGGGCGGGCACACAGCTCTGTACTCTTTATCTATTCACTGATTACATAGATTAAACTTTTCCATAAACGAAAATAGAACCATTTAGCCATTTAAGATAGCTACGGCCTTCCTGGACTGTAATTTTGTCCTGACAAATGCCTGCTGCTCAGGGACCACCTCACAACTCAGTTCACATATCCCACACTAGGAGCTGGAAGCCAGGCCCCTCGGCTCTGCAGCCAGGCAGGATGGGTTTGCTGCTGCACCCCTCGGTGCAGGGTTTGGGCTCCTCTCCTCCCTTCAGGCACCTCTCCAAACACAGCAGGACAAATAATTCCCTTCCAGTGCCACCATATGCTGCCCACTGCCCTCAGAAGCCGTGGACCACAGAGAGGAGGTGGCACTCTGCCTGGCCCATCTTTTCCCTGGGACATCCCAGACTGTGTGACAGTGGCCACCCTTCAGTGTTACTCCATTCCTGGCACCGCCAGCTCCATAAGCTTGTCCCTGTGCCACCCCTCTGATGATTTTAGCTGATGCCTCAGGAGCTGCCTTTGCACTTGTCCGTCAGCCAGAGCCCATAATTAGGGCACCCAGTGGGACTCCATTAATGCTCAGACACTGGAGGATGAGAGTTGGAGGAAAGGTTGTTTGTTTTCCATAAACATGAGCAAATAAAGTGGTATTGGGTTTCTAATTTTATGCCCTGCTAGGGAAATTCCCGAGCAGGGTTGGTTTTGTTTGCTTTGTAAGTCTCCCTAATAACCCTTGTAAAGCTGCCAGCGTGCTCGCCCAGATTAGACATTAAGGAACTATATTTGCATAGATGGAGACAGAGGCTGTCGCTTGGGTTTGTGATTCCAAGCTTGTTAATGAGAACATGAAGACACAGATATTTACAAATTGGCTCCTGTTAATTCAACTGGATATCCTGGATTTGGCTCACATACCTGGACCCATAGAGCCCCAGCAGAAAGCTGCCCACACAAGTCACAGCACAAACAGGACAATGTCAGACCCCCACACCAGGGTGACCGTGACAGGGTGTACCATGAGCTGTACCCTTGACTTACACAGACAATCCAAGGTTTTAATCCTGACACAATTCCAAGAGGCACAGACATAGCCTTAGCTGGTGCCAGTCAGAACCAGCCTGTAGAACCAAGCGGAGCCCGAGGTGAGGAGCCAGCTCCCTAATTCCCAGCTATTTATATTAATTTAAAAGCCACTGCACCATGTTGTTTTGGAAACCTACTTTAAGAAAAATAAGTCTACATGGAGGGAAAAATCCACAGCAAAAAGAAAGGAATATAACTGTGTTTTCTGCTCTTTTACTCATTTCCTTTAGGCAGGAAATCCTCCAGCATGTTGACGTCATAAAGAACTTCTCTCTGACCAAGAGCAGCGTTCGGATCGGGCAGCTGATGCACTACGATTATTCCAGCCATAAGTACGTTTTCTCCATCAGCAGTAACTTCAGGTCTCTGCTCCCCGACGTGTCTCCCATCCTGAACAAGCACTACAACATCTGTGCCGTGGTTGGGAACAGCGGCATCCTGACCGGGAGCCAGTGTGGGCAGGAAATCGATAAATCGGATTTTGTCTTCCGGTGCAACTTCGCCCCAACCGAGGCTTTCCAGAAAGATGTTGGAAGGAAAACCAACCTCACCACCTTCAACCCCAGCATCCTGGAGAAGTATTACAACAACCTCTTGACCATTCAGGATCGCAACAACTTCTTTTTAAGCTTGAAAAAGCTCGATGGGGCTATTCTTTGGATCCCCGCTTTTTTCTTCCACACGTCAGCGACGGTCACGAGAACACTGGTTGACTTCTTCGTGGAGCACAGAGGGCAGCTGAAGGTCCAGTTGGCTTGGCCAGGGAATATCATGCAGCACGTTAACAGGTGGGTGGTCTTGCCTCGCATTTGACAAAATACAATTTGTACAATTGTTCCAGTGCGTCTCTTATTTATTCCCCTTCACGCCCGATGGGGCAGGCACAGCCTGGCAAGTCAGGACCTGGCACTGCTCGTTTTGAGAGCAGCTTTGTTATGGCTTCAGCACATCCTCTGGTTATTGCTGGACAGATTGATTCTGACACACCTTCCTTTCCCCAGGTACTGGAGGAACAAGCACCTGTCCCCCAAGCGGCTGAGCACAGGTATCCTCATGTACACCCTCGCCTCTGCCATCTGTGAGGAGATCCACCTGTACGGATTCTGGCCCTTCGGCTTCGACCCCAACACGCGGGAGGACCTCCCGTACCACTACTACGACAAGAAGGGAACCAAGTTCACGACCAAGTGGCAGGAGTCCCACCAGCTGCCTGCAGAGTTCCAGCTGCTCTACAGGATGCACGGGGAAGGACTGGCCAAACTCACCTTATCGCATTGTGCCTAAGAACCTACATCTCCAAGTGCCAAATGATTGTCTAAAAAGTGCCCAAATCCGACTTAAACATTCTCCAGATAGAATTCTAAAAAAGAAACAAACTCACCCTAAAAATCTTTTGCGTAATGTAAAGATGCTTTTTAGCCACTGCCCTTCCAGGGGTTTCAGCTTATTTATCTGTGCAGAAGCTTTTATCACGTTCTGTGGGTGCGATTTGTGCAGCAGCAAAGTTGAGATATTTTGCAATTCCAGATAAGCCACTCAGTATGTTTTAAGAGCTCTTCATATTTTAGCCTTCCACTAAAAACCCTAAATCTCTTCATTTTATTGTTCCTTCCCCATTAGAACTAGAAATGCTGGTTTTAAAAGGTTTTGCTTCTTTTGTCTATGTTGCTCTCAATAGCTCAGCGCTGCCGTGGCTGACAGATAAAGGCACTGGGAACTCCAGTGCATCGTCACGAGCAAGTTCCTCTGTGTGGATCCAGAGTTCCACCGCTTGGGTATTTTCATATTTACTGAATTTTACATTTTTTAAAGAATAACAAGAAGAAGGTCACGATATGATTCGTACCTTAGCTAGGTGTTTATATCACTCTTGGAATACTTCAGTGTTTTAATTCCATTTGGGACACATCCTAGTCCAGACTAGAGAGGCTGAAGCATGTTCATTCCCATCCATCTGATGCTCTTGGGTCATTTGTTTTAAAGTTAAAAGATTTCCCCATTTACATCTCTAAGTCCCCAGTCAAACCACCGAAACAGTGGCCCCATTTTCTGGTCACCAGCAGCCCTCCAAGGCAGACAGAGGCAGACAGGGCTCCCTCAGCACAAGGGGAAATCAGGCTGCTTGCAGACAGGACAAACCTTAGGGTCACTCAGGGCTGGGAAATGTGGGCCATTATGGCTCAGGATAAAGAATCCTGGGAAATAACTGGATTCCTTATTACAGCAAGTATTTAAACATTTTCTACTGTTCTGTGTGAGAACTGACCGCACACTGAAAAAGGATGCAAAATCCGATTTAGATCATACTTTAAAATGGCACATGCTAATTCTTCTCAGTCTCTTTACCTACAAGCAGACGTAGGAGGTGAGGAAGGAGATCTCTGGTACAACACCCAACCCGAGCTGCCCCGAGCACCTCCCGGTGCCCGTCGTGGCGCTGCAGCTCCACCACCCCCAGAGCCAGCCCCGTTCTCCCCACTGGATTGGCAGGAAAGCAGGGGCTGATGTGCTCCATGCAGGTTTTGGAACCTGAGAGAGGGACAGGACTCCCTGCCGGTGCCAAGGACAAGCCTGGCATCACGACTGGAACTTCCCAGAGGCACAAAGAGGCACCGAGTGCAGAGGAGGAAGCACAAAACCGACTGCAAATATTCGGGAAGGGGAATACAGAGAAATTATTGACAGAGCGCCATATTCCATCATTGATTTTTAAGCAAAACTCCCCATCGATGCCGCAGCCCCACACTGAACATTTCAGAATCATTGATTTTAATGGGACTCCTGCCCCACGATCGATGGCACAGCACAGCCCAAAGTAAATTGCTTCTTAGTATCAATATTTTTTTGCCCGAGTTCCCTCAACGTGGAAAACCGTCGCCAAACGTGCAGCTTTTGTTGTGCGTGGTGGGGTCTGAGGGAGAGGTGAGGACAGAAGGGGACAGAGAGGACAGTGGCACAGGAGGAGAGGCTCTGTGGGGCTGCCTCTCTGCAGCCCTTTCCATTAACAAACCAGTCACATTATTTATTTAATTGTTGTTCAGAAGGTGCCTCCCCGCTCAGGACGCTCGGTGGCCCCCGCATGCAGCAGCACGTCGGGCTGGGCCCTTCCTCCCCTCTGTTTGGCCCCAAATCCCTGCATGAATTCCTGATGGCTCAGGAAGAACCCTCCCTCTCATGACCGAATGTCTGGACAAGCCAACAGAGCTAATGCAGCAGGATCAATATTTGTAAGTACAGAACATTTCAGGTCCCAAAATCCAGAGGAATCCTCCTGACCAGCTCCTCCCATCGGGACACAGACCCTGCTCAGCCCCAGGCTGCAGGGACGGTGTCCAGTGGCAGCCACATCCCTCTCCAGCCCCTCTGCCAAAGGGATGGGGGCCCCCATCCACAGGTGGAACCCTCAGGGGGTGCTGGGGTGTACATAGGATTGGAAATGCATCTTACCTTTCTTCTTTCGTACATCTTGGGGGTGGATTTTCGTTGCTTGCATCTCCTCAGAGCAGGCTCATGAAAACAGGCATTTTGGCTGCCGGGTTTAACTGTGGAGGAAACCAAAAACAAGTGTTTGTGACACAGAACTAACTGTGTAAAAACAAGGTATATAGGAAAAAGCAGGTTTTCTGTAAATGAATGTGTCTTTATTCCAATGGCTCTACAGTTCAATGCCTGAGGGAGTTGTTTTTGATAAAAAATATAAATATTTAAGGAAAAAAAAAAAAGAAAAAATGCCATAATTGTAATAAAGGTTCCATAATGAATGGCCATACTAAAAGCATTGTTTGTTTTCAAATGGCTGATGCTCACAAGGGGCCAGGGCGTGTCTCAGGTGAGTGGCAAAGCCGCACGCTGTGGGAAGGACACTGGTGTCCAGCCTCACACCCTGGAGAGCCTCGTGAGCAGGACTGGGGGCACTGGGACCTGGCCAGGTCTAGGCCTGAGGCTGGGGCAGGGCTGCACAGCACATCCTACCCTGGTTCCTCTCGTGACAGTGCCACATCCTCCTCATGAGCATCGTGCGGAGAGCTCCCGAGCTCCCGGTGTGCCCCTGCAGTGTGATGTGCCTGCAGCATTGACTCATGTGCCATAACTCGATATTGAATGCATTGTTTTTAAATAAAATGGTTTCTTGTGCATTGGGAGTCTGTAAAACTCCGCTGCGTCCGCTTCTTCCTTGTTATGATTTCCCGAACTGCTCACAGCCACTGATAGGTTTTACTGGAAAACTTCACCAGAGGAGTTGCCAAAGGTGTTGCTTAATGTTCCCTATATTTCATTATGCAGCACAACAAGCATGGTGTGATGGATCAGATTCTGCACTCCCCTGGAATATGTGGAGATATGAAGCCTGGGAATCTGTGCCCGGCTCAGCTCTGGGTATTTGCTCATTAACGTGAATTACATTCCCAAGAACTTCTTATAACCCACTTGTGTTACTTGGCCACTTCCCAGGTGACTGGCTGCTTGCTCCAGCACTGTGTGGTGTCCTCAGTGATTCCCAGCAGGAATTCTGCCGTGCCGAACTCCCAGTGATACAGTCCCTCAGGCTGGCAGGGGCCTCTCCCTATGAGAGCTCCTCTGTGGATGCTCCCCGTGTGCTTCCCATCACCAATATCCCACACAGCCCGTATATTTATCCTGGAGATGATCCTGGCAGAGAGGCAGGTGCCAGGGTCTCTGTTTGAGGGACAGGGAGCAGAGCAGCCACCTCTGCACTGGGGGTACACGCTGTGGGGACCCCCACCCTGGGGTTTGCTCCGTGTTTCGGGCACCACCACATCCCTGCTCTCTGTGGGGGACTGATGGGACTCCACATCCCCAAAGCTGCCCCTTTGAGGGGAGCAAGGGCACCCGGCCAGAGCACAGGGAGCTGGAGGCAGGGAGAAGGAGGGAAGCTAACAAAGAAATTCCCTCCTCCCTCCCCAGGAGCTCCGGGAAAGCCTCTGGCGAGGGCAGCCATGCAGGCAGGGAATGCCATCCCGCTGGGCAGCCCAAGCTCAGTGGGCTGGAAGCTCTCCAGCCCCGCTCCTGCCACCCACAACAGCTGGGGCATGTCCTGCCAGGGTGCCCAGGGACACCCAGCACCCTCCTGCCTCCAGGGGTGTCCAGGGACACCCAGTAGCCTCCTACAGAGCCCTGCCAGGATGGACCCAGCACGTCGGGTACAGTTAAAACATGTGCAGATATTTATACATTGTCGGGTTGATTCCCGGGAAGATCTCGACATCAGTTTGGAGAAACACAGGAATTAGGCACTACCACGTGTAATAAAACATCTTCAGGGAACGCAGCCACCAGGTGCAGGTTTGCAAAGACAAAGTCAGGCCTGATGAATTTGCTGGAGAAGGAGAAGGGAAGGCAAGGAAAGGGGGGAAAAGGGGAGAAAGGGAGGAAAATAGAGGAAAAGGGAGGACACAGACACCAGCACATTTGCAGCACCAGATTCCCATCAGGGTCTGCCTACCCACCCCCTCCAGCCTGCCCGGGGTGGCACCTCCACCCCCCGAGGGCTGCACTCGCCTCTCTTTCCCCAAATCAACTGCAACTTTTGCCTTCCTTTAGGAAGGACAAAAAGATTTCACGCATAACTTGCCCTGAACAAAGGCACCTCAGGCCAGGGCTTTCTTTTCCTTCTTCCTTTCTTTTTCCTTCTCCACCACAGGCTGACAGCAGCAGGAGTAGCTGGAGTGGGGAGAGCTTCACTTTAGACCCGCCTAGTTAGTGCCAAAAAGCAACTTGGAAAAACCTGGGAGCTCCAGGGACACACAGCGATGGCAGTGTGGAGAGAAACGGATCGTCAGCCTTTGGATCCAGTCTGTAGGGAACGGGGTGCTGACACACATAACCCGTTTGCAAGGAAATTCCAGGTGCCCTGGAGAGTGGCCTGGTAACTGATGGTCCTAAAGGTGACATTTCTCCCTGTTTCGCCCCATTTTGTTACTGGAAAGACCCCGTGGAGGTGGCACCTTCACAAGCACAGAGATGGTTATCGGGACTGAGATAAGGCTGACACAAAACACAAGGACAGGCTGCTGCTGCCACTGCGTTACTGATTAAAGGAGTGAGGAAAAGCAGTGGAGGGAATTGCACAGCTGGGAGCAGCTGCATGGCCTGGCACGGCACGACCCAACGTGTCTTGGCACGGGTGCCCTGCTGTGCCAAAGCAGGTCAGTCCCCACTTGCCACTCTGTGATGAGGGATCCTGTCCCCACGGGCCCTGCACCTATCGGGAATCCCTGCCCACTCCTGCCTGCACAGCTTCCCACTGTCTCCTTGGCTGCCCTCCTGGCTCCGTGTCTCTGCTTCCATAACTCCCTGCCCCTCTGTGCAAACCCCACGTGCCCTACGGAGATGTGCCCTGCCCCTGGAGCCCCGGGGGCTCAGAGGCATCCCGGAGAACTGGCCCTTCCTCAGGAAGCGGGGGGACACGTCTGCACGTGTGTGCACCGTAAGCTGGACCCCCCAGCCGTGTGTCAGCAGGGCACGGGGACAGGGGGTTCGTGGGACAGCCCCGATCCCGGGGTGATGTGCGTCCGTCTCGGTGTCACTGAGCCCATTGCTGCCACATTTGAGGCGACTAAGAACTAATAACCAGTAGCCAACAGCAGTGATCAGCACCGGGGCTGCGGGACCGAGGCCGCGGGCGCGGGGCCATCTCCTGGGAGTAGCCCCGGTGCCGATGCCCTCCCGGTGCCGGTGCCCTCCCGGTGCCGATACCCTCCCGGTGCCGGTGCCGGTGCCGATACCCTCCCGGTGCCGATACCCTCCCGGTGCCGGTGCCCTCCCGGTGCCGGTGCCGGTGCCGCCACAAAGGGGCCGCGGAGCTTTAAGGGCCGTGCGGTGCCCGGCGTGAGGCCCCGCCCCCCGGGCCGCTCCGCGCTCCCATTGGCCCGGCCGTTCCGAGGCCCCGCCCCCAACCGGCGGCCCCGTCCCCCGGTGGGCACCGGCCCGGCCCCGGGGCGCGGCCGGGGCGGGGCGGCCTGAGCAGCGCCCGCCGCCCGCAGACGGCGGCGGCGGCGGCGAGGCGAGGACATGGCTCGGGGCCGGCGCGGCGGGCCCGGCTGAGCCGCCGCTGCTGCTGCCCGCGGGGGCCGGCGGGGCGCGGGCGGCCCCGGGCCGCGGCGGCCGCCGCCCCGATGAGCGGATGAGGAGCGGGCGCGGCGGCCGGCGGTGCCTGGGCGGGGAGCCGGGTGCGTGCGCCATGAACCCCGAGCTGGCGATGGAGCCGCTGGGCAGCCTGCACGGGGCGGCGGGGCACGAGCCGGAGCTGATGGGCAGCCCCAGCCCGCACCACGGCGGGCGCGGCGCGGGCCGCTCGGGCGCCGCCGCCGCCGCCGCCGCCGCCGCCGCACCAGGAGCTGCCCCCCGCCGCCCGGCCCGCCATGGTGCCCAGCATGGCCTCGCTGCTGGACGGCGCCGCCGAGTACCGGCCCGAGCTGTCCATCCCGCTGCACCACGCCATGAGCGTGCCTTGCGAGGCCTCGCCGCCCGGCATGGGCATGAGCGGCACCTACACCACGCTGACGCCGCTCCAGCCCCTGCCGCCCATCTCCGCCGTCTCCGACAAGTTCCACCACCCGCACGCCCACCCGCACGCTCACCACCACCACCACCACCACCAGCGCCTGCCGGGCGGCGCCGGCGGCAGCTTCGCGCTGATGCGGGACGAGCGCGGGCTGCCGGCCGTGAACAGCCTGTACGGGCCCTACAAGGAGGTGCCGGCCGTGGGGCAGAGCCTCTCGCCGCTGGGCAACGGGCTGGGCCCGCTGCCGGGCGCCCAGCAGGGCCTGCACGGCTACGGCCCGCCGGGCCCCGACAAGATGCTGAGCCCCAACTTCGAGGCGCACGCCGCGATGCTGGCGAGGGGGGAGCAGCCGCTGCCCCGCGGGCTGGGGACGCCCCCGGCCATGCTGCCGCCGCTGAACGGCGCGCATCACCCCGCGCCCCCCGGCCCGCCGCCCCCGCACGGCCCCGCGCTGCCCCCGGGCCGCGACCGCCCGCCCCCCGCCAACGGCCCGCAGGGGAGCGGCGCGGGGCAGCTAGAGGAGATCAACACCAAGGAGGTGGCACAAAGGATCACGGCGGAGCTGAAGCGCTACAGCATCCCCCAGGCCATCTTCGCCCAGCGGGTGCTATGCCGTTCCCAGGGGACCCTCTCGGACTTGCTGCGGAACCCCAAGCCTTGGAGTAAACTCAAGTCCGGCCGGGAGACGTTCCGCAGGATGTGGAAGTGGCTGCAGGAGCCGGAGTTCCAGAGGATGTCGGCCCTGCGGCTCGCAGGTAGGTGCGGGGAGCGGAGCGCGACCCCCGCAGCCCAGCGCCGCCCGGACGGTCCCGCACGCCGGCCCCGGCTCGGCCGCATCCCCGCTCCGCCGTGACCCCGGGGCTGTGCGGGGTCGGCCGGTCCCCCCTCCCGCAGCGCTGACCCCGCTCATCCCGGCCCGGGGCGGTGGGGCTGTGCGAGGCTCGGGGCCGGCGGAGGAACAGCTTCGCTGCCGGCGCCGGGCGGCGCGGCCGGCGCTGCTCTCCAGGGCCCGGTGCTGAAGGTGCGCGCCCCGCACCGTCCCGCGCTCTCCGCGAGCATCCCTCCTGCCGCTCCCAGCGCTGCGGGACAGGCCGGGCGGCGGACTCGCGTCCCGGGGCAGGCGCGGCCGGTGGGAGCGAGCGGGAGGGCCGGAGCCCCGTATGCCCCGCACATCCCCGCACATCCCCGCAGCCGCGGCCCGGCCGCATTGTCCGCGGAGGCCGCGCGGGCGCCCTCTGGCGCGGGCGCGGGGCGGCGCAGCCCCCATTGTTCTGCGGGGGCCGCGGCGGGGGGGGCGGCGGGCAGGGATCCCCGGTACTGACCCCCGGTACTGACCCCCGCACCGGCCCCCGGCAGCGCCCGCCCCGGGGCAGAGCGGGAGAGGTCCAGCGAGCGCTGTTCCCTGCGGTGGCGGCCGTGCGGGGGGCGCCCGCAGCGCGGTGGGTGCCCGGGGGTCGCCACCGCTCGGCTCCCGGTCGGGAGCCGGGCAGTAGGCTCGGCTACCTCCTCACCAGGAACTGTTAATGTACAGACACAGGGCGGGCTGGGGCACGGGCAGACACGCGTGGGACAGACCGCAGCGCGGGGAAGGTGCTGGGCCGGGGCTCTGGTCTGACAGAGACGAAATCCGGGGCTGTTTGTGCCGCCGAACCCGTCCTTCTTTCATTCCGATTGACGCTGAACCGAGCAGATGGATCCCCGCGCGTTCGTGCTGCCCCGTGGGCAGGTGGCCGCTGGCACACCCGGAGCAGTGGCTGAGGGGACACGGGGGTCCCTACGGTGGGGAAGCGGGCACAGAGTCCCCGCACACGGGGCAGCGGGGGGGGATGCGGCGGAGCCGGGGGACGAGGAGCCAGCAATGATGGATGGCCGTAATCCCTGCCCTACCCCTGAGCGAGGGTGCTGCGGGTTAAACACCCACGGCCTGGAGTGTCCAGAAGCCCCTCCGAGGGTGCTCGGGCTTTTCCGAGCTGGGGAGAGGGTTCTGATCCCTCCCGGGCTCCAAGGGCGACTGCAAACCCCTCCCGTCCCTCGCACGGCTCCGCTCTGCGTGCGGCCAAGGAAAGTCCCGGGGGGCGGCTGTGACAGGAGCGTCAGGGGGACAGAAGGGGTTTGGGGTTTTTGCCGGGCACGCCGTGGTGTCGCCTTCACAAACAAACGCGTATCCAGAGGGAAATCGATGCAGATAATGTTTAGAAGATTAAAAGAGCATTAATGTTGGCAACGGGAGCATCAACGCATGGACCCAGTTTTCATTGATCTGGAACCTGAGCCGGCTCATTTCCAGTAACGCTGCTGGTGCTTTTCCTTCCCAGCACCGGTCTCGGGTGGGGATTCCCCGTGGAGCCCTACATATAGGGCAGAAAATCAGGGATCGCAGCTACACACAGAGATTTATGCCTGTCTAATTCTGGATCCCCCCCTTCCCAGTTCCCCTGAATGCCTTTGCATCCAGGAGTAAAGTTTGGAGAGAGCTCCAGCGCCGAGTGGGCACGGATTCCCCGTGGAGTGGGAAAGACCTTTGCAAATTACCTTTCCCTTCAGGAAATCGATTATTTTAATTTCCTTTTATTACCACGTGTGAATAAGCGGCTCCATTGCCTCGGTGCTTCCCTTACTCGCTTGCTTAAATCCCTCTGAGCACTGGGAAAAAGCCTGAAGTGTTTTAGACTTGTGAAAAACAAAAAAACCCCGTCAGCTCTTTGCCCCACACTCCTGAAAAATTTTCCCAAATGGGACGAAAATCTGCTGTCCTTGGAGGGAAATCCCCCTCTCCCTGTGGGAGGTGTAGCAGAGGGGTGTGCTTAGCATTCTTATTATCATAGAAGATCACGTTGTTTATCCTATTCTATTCCGATCTAATTTAATTTTATTACTTCTGTGCTTGTTATCTCTTCTCGGGGGTCTTTGAGACTCCCGAGCCGGGGGTTTCTGTGCGGGAAGGTGCGGGCAGCTCCTTTCTGGGAACAGATTACTGTTCCGTGCGGCTTTGGAGCTCCGGGGGCTCCCGTTTTGGGGTCACCGTGCCCGTGTCCTGCTGCGGCTGCAGGCGGCGAGTGCCCTCCCGGGGACACCGCGCGTCCCCCGGGGCAGGGACGGGGGGCTCTGGGGGGGTTGGGACAAACGCGTCTCCCGCAAAACGACCCGCGAGAGCCCCCCGCCCTCCCTCCCTGTCCGCGGGAAGGTCCCGACGGACGGTCCTCAGATTTCTACCGGGCTCTGCAGAGCGCTCCGCCGCCTGTTTACCTTGGCCATCGCGGAATCGCCTTAGCGATGATTAAACACTTTTGTCCCCAAACACCATCAATGACTCATTTGTGCAAAACAGCCGGCCCGACCCCCCCTCCGCCTTCAGACCCGCCCGGGGGGAGCGGCGGCACCGTCAGCACCACGGAGAGCGCAGCAGAGGGATGGAGGCGCGGTGGGATGCAGGGCAGGGAGCTCATCATTAAGCCGTAGTAACATCCCTATCAAGCATGTTATCTATCTATCTATATATCTATATACAAAAGTATCTCTTAGCGTTGCATTGAATATACAGGTACGTAAAGATTCTTTGAAAGGTGCTTAGTGGCTTGAAATATGGGTGCTCTCCTGGGCTATAGATTAGTGGTTGTGTTTGAACAATCCATGCAGTAAATTGTGGTGCCGGGTGATTAATTATATTTCCTACGTACCGACTTTCCAAAATAATATCCTGCCCTAGCTTTTTTTGTTCCCCATCATTTCTGAAAGCATTTCTGCCCCGCAGAAAATTGAGTCCTGTTTTTGTGCAGCAAACGGGTTTTATCAGTCTTGATTATTTGATAAAGTTAAATCTGAGCACATTTGTCATTAAATGCACTCCCATATTTTTTCCCTCCATTTTTGATCATCATGTGTTACTCATTCTGAAGCTATTTCCTTAAAAGATTTTCCCTATTTCCTTAAAAGATTTTCACTATTTCCTTCACTATTTCCTTAAAAGATTTTTTTTCTCCCAGCATCTTGTTTTTTCCTGTATCTCTTGCCTGTCACCATTTGAACTGAAATATCCCAAACTCAGATGTTCCTCTGCGGATGAAAACTGCCACCATTTATTTGTGGCAAGGAATGCATAAAGGGGGAAACATTTTTGCCTAAAGGATTATTTTCCGGTGAGTGGTACTGGCTCTTCCCTCGCTCCGAAGGGGTGTTTCGGCTCTGTGCTGTGGCCCCAGGTGCTCATCCTTAGTGCTCCTCCCTGGTATTATCCACCAAATCTCGTCCTGGCTGTTCCTGCCATGTGCCAGCTGCGAGGGGACATTCCTTCCCTTCCAATTAGACACTGCTGGGAGATGAGAAGCTTCCTGCAGGAGCCAACACGTCTGTTCCCAGGCTGCGAGCACTAAAGGCAGCAGCCTCCTCTCATCAGAGCAGCTCCCCCGTAGCTGCCTTCAGAGTGAAACAAGCTCTGCAGGGGCACAGAGAATGGATCTCAGAGGGAAAGCAGGGCTGCAAAGGACTGCAGACATCACTTGTCCTGACAGTCTGCCCCGTTTCTCGGGGATCTCCCGAGATGGGGATTTCCCAGGCTAGCCAGGCAATCTCTTCCAGGGCTTACAGGTACAAAAAAATCCTTAATGACTTGCCTTAATCTCACTTTTTGTCTTTTAAATCCTTTGCTTCTCATCTTATCCCCCCTAGACACAGCAAAAAAGAAGACTCCCCTCCTTCTGAAGGCAATCTGTTTGTAGCTCCCATCTTGTCTCCTGCCTTCTCTGGAAAAAGCCCGTCCTACTTGGGCAATGAATATGCAGGGAAAGCTTTATATCCAACGGGACAGATAATACATCTCTTTTTCCAAGGTAAAAGATTTTGTATCCAGCTCTATCAATCTTGCAGACTTTTGCATAAAAGGCTCTCTGATTTATGGAGGGGCTTTGCACGCAGAAATCATACCAAACAGACTAATCTCAAATGGGTTTGGTGATAAGATCAGCCAGACAACTCGCTGATGGCAGATAGAAATGCAATCAAAAAAGAAATTGGAGTGTTTTGGGGTTGTTTGGGGTTTTTGAGCTATAAAATCCAACTGCTCCATTGTGAAAGGAGGGACTCAAACCACTGGTAAATGCTGCACAAAGGAATTATTAGCCAAGGGATAGAGGCTGGCAGCTTCCCAAAACACAAATTGTCTCCGAGACCAAAATATCTCTCAGTAAGAGGGAACATATTTATGAGCAGTGGTGATTTTCCAGCAGTTCTCATCCCCCCATAATGGGCACCGGAGCAGGGCCCTGTGCTGAGGCATTAAGCTTTGGCAAGGAGCAGGAGGGGAAGGAAGAGCAGCAGGAAATCTTCCTCCAAGAGCTTCCACACACCTACTTCTCCGTGTGCCCTCTCCCCCGGCCTTGAACTGCCCTCTCCTTCCGCTGGCCATGGTGGGCATCTCCCCTCCCTTCCTCACCTCCACCTCTCTGGTGCCCAGGGGGGAAGGACACTTCCCTCTCCTGCTCAGGCTGAGCTTTCATAATCCCCTGGGAAGAAGGAAATGGGAACCTGAGTGTGTGGAGAAGAACATCCCTCCTCCTGCCAGGGCTGCTCTTGCTCTGTGTGTTCAGCACTTCCGGGCTGAAGTGCCAGGAGAGCTCGGAGAGCCAGGAGGGCAGCACAGTTCGGGCTTTCCCAGATAAGCTGGCAGAGCTTTGCTCCTGTTTTCTCCTGTTCTTAATTCCACCCTATCAGTAACAGCCGGTAAAGGCAATATTCGTGTCCTGCTTTCTCCCCTGGGACAGGATTTCTTCAAACAGGATCCACACACTGGATCCTTCCTTCTTGCAGTAAGATTTCAGGCTCCTCTTCAGTGCTTCCTTACCCACTTCAGCTTTAAATTCCCAGCCCTTTCTTGGACAAGGTGCCTGAAGCACTTCCCTTTCTCCACAGGAGAAGGTCACAGCTGTTCTGGTGCTTTCAGGGATGTGCTGGCGCATCACTTGGAGCTGCTGCTCCAACAGGCAGAGCACTCAGCATGAGGCAGGTCTGGCTTCATCCCTGCGCCCTGACAAGGGGAATATAAATCCTTGTCACCAAAAAGGGCTATAATTCAGCTGGAAACTATTTGGGGATTCAAAAGGGAGAATCTCCAGAAAAAGAGGGAGCATAAATCTCCCAGGGGTTAGACATGAAGGACTCTCAGTGCAGTTGGAAGGATCCCGAGCTCTGCCGTGCCTGGAGAGAGTTCCTGGCTGGTCCTGGGAGTGCCCTGGTTCCTCCTCCTCCCATTCTCGTCCTGGCCCTGTCCCATCTATTATTTATCATTCCATGTTAATGAGGGAAGCATATCCCAGTGGTTCTCAGTGAGCCCTGTCAGAGATCCCACTCGGGGGTGGGTCTTGCAGCACTGCAGGAGGAAACAGCCCCTGCCCCACAGGATTTACAGCCCCATTCCAGCCAACCAGCACATTTACAGGACATTGGACACAAACAGCCTGGGAGCTGCTACCTGTCCGAAAGAAACATAAATGAGCCACTTGCCCAAAACAATTCCTCTTTTCTTCTCAGAAAACTGAGGATGCAGAGCCTGGGGAGGCACCAAGAAAATACCTTCCTGGCTGGAAACAGCCAGGCTGTGCCCTTCTTTTTGGAGCATTGCAGGAATTCCTGGATCTCCAAATAGGGAACACCTCACTGTTACAAGAGCATTGACTGAGCCAGCAAAGAGATCTCCAGTAACTCCAGATCTTCTCTGGAAGAGCAGAATTAACACTTTGTGCCACACCTCCCATCTGTTTTTCTGGAGAAATGCCACTGAGGGCATTCCTAGGGTTCCAGAAATCAGGAGTTGGGTGTGTGTGCAGCAGCTGGAATGAGCAGCACCCGCTGCCCACCCCGACAATGTGATTATTTGCATCTTCATTGCGATTGTTCCTTGTTCCATAATGATTTTGTACACAGTGGAGTACTTAACCTAATTTGTATTGATCCCAATCGCTCTTGTTCGTGCATACTTAATTCAGAGAGGTAATCAAATTGATTTCTGAGGCCTAGTTTTTAAGAGATTGTAGTAACAGGGATATACAGGGGGTTGCTTTAAGTGAATCACAGCAAAAGAAAAACATTTTAAATCTTTGGAAAACGTTTGGATGGTCATTTCATTGTGTTCAGCATTACCAGAGTAATTGCATTTCCCTCACATTGAGTCCTCTCCGAAATGGAATTGAGGAGCAGCTTTATTTCCATCAGACAGATAACTGGGTTTAAGTGACTTTGCACCCCCGTGGAACCGCAAACGTGGGATCAATAGTCACAGCTTATCCTTCGGAGCCATGGAGAGAGGGCTTACTGCTGGATTAAGGGAATATTGGTCTCTGCTTGGCTCCTTCTTAACACCTGCTCTTTCCAAGTCACTTTTGCCCTTAGAGTAAAAACATCCTAAACCAGCAGGGCACGGGAGCTGTTTTGTTGACATTTCCAGCATCCCAGCCCTGCAAGTGGCTCCTCTTCTCCCGGGGCTGCTTGGGCATCGCTCCAGCCCCCCAGACCCCTCCCTGGCCTCCTCCTCCTGTCTTATTTCTGTGTAAAAGCACCTTTAGTCCAGTGTGGAAGGAGAAGGAAGCTTTTCCATTTATTTTTCTCCCAGCTCTGGCTTCCAGGTCTCGCCAGTTGTCCATTTTCTTCCATAGAATATGTTCAGTTTTAACCGCAGCCAGTAAATCAAATTGTGCTTAGAATCCAGACGGTCTCTTCCGTTCCCTCCACCCTTAAAACCTTTCTCTTTCTTCCCGGAAAATCTCCTGATTTTATTAGTGCTCCCCCCATTTTTCTCTGCCCAGAGATGCACACAAGGCTCAGCCTTTGCCTTTGTGGGGCCTTTTCGAGAGCAAACTCAACAGTTCAAGGAAAGTATTTACTGAATGCATCGAAAAGCACATCCCTCTGCATTATTTATTATCAGATACCAATAACTGTAAAACGCAGAGTATCTCTGGACATAAATTAGTGATGGGAGGAAACACTCCACTCGTCCCAGTGTCCCGGAACCTTTTAGAAGCTGCAGCAAAGATGCTGGTGCTCGTCATGTCCCCAGCACTGGGGAGATCCCCATGTGGATTCTGCACACATGGCAAAGTAAATCTGCTTTTGCAGCTCAGACAGGCAGCAGGACATTATCTATGGGGTGTTAGAGGCGCAGTCAGAGAGCCCACATTTTTGCCTCCTGATGTTTTCAGGCTAATGACCTCTGGAGACCCGACTGGCCACTGGGACACAGTACAGGCTCACCCCAACACCTCTGCAGTGTGTCCAGGCAGGAGCATCCATGCTGCTCCCTGTTCCCTCAGCTCCCAGTGCTATGCTGGGAGCTGCTCCAGGCACTCACCCACAGCCCGTGTCTGCTCTCTGGAGCGTCCTTTTACTCTCGGGGGTATTCTGAGGTCTGACCTTGACCTCCCTCCCAGAGGCAGCTCTGCTGCAGCTGCTGGAATTTGGGGTCAGGAGCAAACTACTGCAGTTTGCTGCAGAAGTCCTGTGAGATGCCGTGCCCTGCAGATGGAGGCAGGTCACTTGGCACTGGCTGGGCCAGGCTCCTGCTCGGGGAGCTACAGCCTGACTTGGGGTTAGCTACAGCTCGGCACAGCTACAGCCTGACTTGGGGTTAATTACAGACATTTCCACTGTCTGAGTTCTGCTTGTGGGCCAGGTTCATTTCACATTCCAGACCTGCAGAATTATTTAACAGGGTTGCTTAAAACCTGCCCACTTATCAATTCTCTGGGCCTGTTCTGTGCCGGCACATTCCCTGACCATGTCAACATATGGATTTTCTCCCCGTGCCCGGCGCAGACGGCCTGGCAGGGCTATTTTTAAGTGTGGGTGTGCTCCGGCAGTGGTATTGGTTTCAGCACTGGCTGTTCTCTCTCTGCTAATAAATACAAGGAGCTATTAATACGGATGTTTTTAGGATCCATTAGCATCGCTCGGCGCAGCCAACGTCCGGCACTGCCACCCTGCCCGACCTGAGCTCTCACAAGGCTTCACCCGTGGGAGATACCCCGGGAAGGGGGACAGGAGATGGGAGCAGGGCACAAGGGGGTTACGACACTGCAGAAGTCAGGCTGGGAGTGCAAATGCAGCCCCCTGGATTTCCCCGGGAGCCCTCAGACCCTGCGTGCCAGAGCGGTGCTGGCTCACCTGGTGTCACACCCGGGGGTGGCCAGCGGGGTCTGTGGGCTCCACCCTGACCCTTTCTCTCTGTCTCTGCCCACCCCTCCCCAGCCTGCAAACGCAAAGAGCAAGAGCCCAACAAGGAGCGGAACAACTCCCAGAAGAAATCCCGCCTGGTCTTCACGGACCTACAGCGCCGAACGCTCTTTGCCATCTTCAAGGAGAACAAGCGCCCCTCCAAGGAAATGCAGATCACCATCTCCCAGCAGCTGGGCCTGGAGCTCACCACCGTCAGCAACTTCTTCATGAACGCCCGCCGGCGCAGCCTGGAGAAGTGGCAGGACGACCTGAGCTCCGGGGGCTCCTCCTCAGCCCCCAGCACCTGCCCCAAGGCCTGAGGGCATGGCTGGCACAGTGCGGCACGGCCGGCATGGCGCGGCAGAGAGAGCGGCTTCCCGCAGGGCCCTCCACCGGTGACTTTGAAAGCACAATCCTCCCACCACCACCCCAGCCCAGCTGTCCCCGAGGACCTTCCTATGGCTCCCCATCAGTCCCAGCAGGCGCGAGTTCCACGTCCACCTCCCACCTCCCTCTGGACAATGCAAAGCTCAGGACAGGCGAAGCAGGTCTGAGGCGCAGGGGAGCCGTGCCCGAGGCGAGTTTCTCCTGAGCCCACGTTCCCCCGACAGGTGGGAGCTCCTGCCGTGTGCTGGCCACACCGCCCCGCGAGAACGGAGCACAAAGTCTGGTACTGAAGAACCCAAGAGCCCGGTTTTAAACTCAGGCATGGTTTTTGTTAAGTGTTTTAAGGAGAAAAAGAAAAGATGCAATTTAAGTTTTTGTTTGTTTCCTTAGTTTAACTTAATCAGTTTGTTCTTGGATCAGACAAATTCAGTTCCCTCGAGCTCAAAGTATCAAGCACAAAGCCGTAGCTCCAGCGCTGGGCCCGGCCCTGGGCTCCTGGCTGTGCCAGCTGCAGCCTGACATCTCGGGAACGCCACGGACACCACCACCACCACCCCAAGCACAGCTGTCAGTTCCTCCCAAGGCCTGTGTTTGTACCTCATGCACACTCAGGAGGTCGACGGAACTGCTACAGTACGTGGAGCAAACACAATGTTTTGAAAGATCTAGATTTTTTTTAGGTCATTATTACATCCCTTTTGGTTTCCCAGAATCTGGTTTGTCCTCGGCAACGTCCTTGTTACCAAAACCTTTTTAGTGTTCAAGGTATTTCTGTTCATTTTTTCAGTATTTTATGGTACTTTCAAGCAGGAAAGAAACAGAAACAAGCCCTCCAGATGCCACTGACCATTTCAGACGTGCCGCATCTACTCCATTGCATCCCCAATTCCTTTTCCCCGCCCGCTGCCCGAGCCAGCGGGAACACAGCACACCAAAGAGACAGGATTTCTGCAAGCCAAAGATGTTTATAACCTGCCATTTCTCCTCGCCATGGCTGGTGTGGGTGGTCGGGTGGCGCTGGGGAAGCCTCCCGAGCTCTGAGCCCTCTCTCCACCCCGTGCAGCGGAGCCGCCCCCGCGGCACCGACGCGGCCGCGGCCGCCCCGTGACTGGTGACCGAGCGCGGTCGTGGCTCTTTAGAGACACTTGAGACTTTTTTTATGTACTACTTAATCGAAACCAAAGAAACGTTTTCTGCACCTACTTCTTCTGCAACGAACTGTTCCATTGAAAGATAAAATAAAAATGAAAAAAAAAAACAACAAGGAAGCACGTCAGGAAGCAAACGAGTCCCACACTGTGTTTTACAGACATCTCGGATGTTTTCGGAAGCAGAACTCAAAGAAAGGGTTGACAAGAATGAGAACAAAGCAAAACCAGTACAATTGCTGCTTCATTTGACAACTCCAGTCATCTTAAAGTTGAAGATTGTCTTTAATTTGTGCCTATGCAGTTTTTTCAAAAGAACAAGGAACAGAGCAACCAAAACCTCAACAGCTACAATACCAAAGATGAGGATTCTCACTACTTGTGTTTCAGTTTGTTTTCTCCTCTTGCACGACTAATGCACATAACCCCACTGCTCTCTGGACAGGTAACACTTCTGAGTCTTTGTGCAACCCAAAGGGTGGGTTTATTTGTTTTCCCTGTTTCTGCCCCACATGGCACCTTTCCAAGAGCTGCACGGACTCCAAGTGCAAGATGCTGGGATACTACGCTGGTACGTCTCCTCCCTCCAGCAAAAACTTGTGGGTTGGGTGTGACCTTTGTGTTGGTCTCCTGTGTGCCCAGAGCTGTGAACAGCCACCCTCCTGTATGTGACATCAGCCAGAACCCTCCACCCTTCCTCCTCTTCCCCAGGGATAAAACTTGCCACACGGATGATTTCTGCCACCGTCAGTGCTGAGCAGCCCCACAGCCCCACTCCAAAACTCCACCTGAACCAAAATCAGCTTTTCAGCAGTTCAAGTGGCAGTTCAGGAGCTGGTGTTGACATATTAGACATGTATTGTTTGTTGATCCAGGTCACAATGATCTGAATCATGACATGTCCAAATTTATCCCCAAGCTGGAGCACAGTGGTACCACCTTGCTCCTCTCTATCTTTAAATAAGGGCTTCTTTTTAACAGCTTCACAGAACTGCTGCAGTCATTTCCCAATGATTGCACTTGAAAAAGAAAGAAAATCAAGAAGCTTTGCCTGCTCAGGGCAGGGAAGGTTTCTGGAAAGCCAATTCAGGATCCTCCCAGCTGAACTGACAGCACGTGCCTGCTCTGGGAATCAAAACATCCTTCAGCAGAGATTTCCAGGCAGACTGTGCATGATTCAGAAAAGCAGCCTGTAGCCAGACATGGAATAAAACTATTTAAATAATAAATAATAAACCCTGAGGGCTTTTTATTCCTGCCCAGAGTTCATCCCCACAGCCCTAACAAAGTAAGTGCTAGGTCAGTTACAAAACTATTTACAAATTTCTTTTACGATTATTTACAAATTCCTCCTCAGTGAAATCACTAGCTCTCTCCAAGCTGTGGAAGTGTTTGTTTACGGCTGGGTAACAAACAACACCATGAGCCTTCTCTGGGCTGGGGACTCAAACACACCGACAGTCACAGACCATTTTCAGCCACAAATCCTGCTGCATTTTTTATCCCTGTACCTCTCGTGGCCCCGTGTGACACCCTCCATCTCACTGCCCCCCTCTTGGCTTTTATGTAGCAGCTCCCTCAGACGAGGAGCCGTGGGTGGAGATCCCTGTGTGTGTGAGCAGAGTACGTGCCCTATTCTGCCCTAATCCAAACTCCAACAGATAAGTCCTGATTCTATACCATATTTATGAATCTATAGAGCTGTGTAACGTAACTTGTTGCTTTATTTATTCTGCTGCAAAAGACTGATGTGTGCAGAGAGTATCCCAGCATCTTCCGGACCGGGAACTTGGAGTTACAACCGTGGGCACAGCCAAGATGAATTCAACTTTCAAGAAACCTTGGATATTGCTTTAATTGCCCCTGAAGGAACAAGGAATGTGCTCGATGACTTCGGTTGAATAGCTTTATTGTGGATCTCTCTAACCTACAGCTGAATCCAAAGACCTGAGAAGGACTCAACCAGCAAACCTCGCTCATCCCTGCGGGAGGGGAGGGGGATCTCAGCCCTGCAGGAGGGATTGGGAACCTCCTCTCCCAAAGGAAGACACGGTAACGACACGGTGTTGCAAAGAGTGCGCTGGCTTTGGACACAGCCAATGCTTTTCTTGCTTGTCACAATTCCTAAGGATTTTTAAGACATGGGGAAACTTTCTACTTGGCCTCCTTTATATTTATTAAGGGGAATTTTTATTGTTTAAATTTTTTAAAAAGGTAAAGCTTAAAATGGTTTTATTTTTTTTTCCAGACACTTGTGGGTTTTGACCCGGTATATTATCTATCAATAATGTAATTTATTTAATTTAGTCTTAGGGCAGGTCCTGAGATCTCTGTTCAGTCTGAATCCCACTGAGTTTCATTTGAGCTTTTGAATTCAGTGGGAGTTTTGCCTGAGTGCAGACTGGAGGGTCATGCTCCCACGTTAGCTATTTGCAGCTATTTAATTCACTCATCTATGAACTCATTTGGGATTAATTTTGCTTATTTATCCCTTAGCCTGTTGTGGCGCATCAGAGATGCGAAGCCTGTTAGTAAATACACTGAAGAGCTGGGGCTGCTTCCGAGAGCAGCCAGGTTCTGTTAGACAGGGAGAAACAACTCGTTCCATGAAACAAGAGTCTAGTTCCAGTTCCCTCTTTTAGTTAATTTTAATTGTTTAAGTATCAAAGTTTAAATTATTTAAGTTAATCTCCTCCCATCCGATTGGAAAGTGCAACATACCTTCCTTATGGCACATGAAGCCTTCGTAATTATAACTTATTTATTTAACTTATTCCTCACCACCCCAGGATGCCCTTGTAGAGTTTTTATTTTTGATTTAGAATTATCTATAAAGCACTACAGCTGATCTCCTGTAAGAACAGCAGAGAAAACTTTGAGGACAAGCAATGAATATTCAAACCTAAAACTGTGTGTTCAGAAAAACAGTTTAAAAAAAACCCAAAACACTGAGATACTTTGCCTGAACTTTGTGGCTTCTTAAAACTTAAGCTGGGGGTAAAATAATCCATGCCAAGCAAAAAGAGAGAAACCCTTAAACTAGCTGCTTCCAAGAATGAACTTCTGTGTGTGGAAAAAAGAGAAAAAGGAAAAAAAAAAAAGGAAAAAAGAAAACAAAACACAGAAAAAACCTTTGTATTTCTAGTGAGAACCAAAGAGGCTACCTCACTGACTTTTCCATTTGTAATTTTAATCGTGTTGATGATACCAAAGATACCAAAGATTTCTTTCTCTGTGCGGTCTGCATTCTGCTTGTGCTCTCTGACAGCTCCCACCGTTCTCTCCTACCCTCAGTAATGTTCAGCTGAGCCCAGATTCCCAAAGAAACGCTTCCCTGGAAGCTACCAGTTCTGGTGACGCCCTTTTCTGTGTTCCCTTTGCCTTCCTGCCAGCCTAAGCGTTTGGAGCCGTGGAGCTGTGCCCACGCCAGGTCCCGGCCGGGAGCGCTTGTGCTGACCTGGAGGTGAATCCAGGCTGTGTCCGTGGGACATTCCCTGGGGAAAGGCTCTGCAAGTGCCCCTGAGCCACTGTGGGGTGCATTTGCAGCAGCAATTAACATCACTAATTATTATTTTCCTGCTTGAGCAGAGCCCATGGGCTGGTCTGGGGGTGAGCAGAGCCCAGGGTTCTCCTGCGCTCCAGGGAGGGGGTTTTCCTGCCCCGTGCCCTCCATGGGGACCTGGCCAGGCGGGCACAGCAGATCCAGGGGCTGCTCCCTCCTCCTCCTCACCTTTGGTTGTTGTTTACAATTACAGTTTTCAGATAAAAATCAATTAATTACTTTTCTCGAGTTAGCAATGAAGCGAGGCTACATTAAGCTCCATTAGCATCACGTTCCTGAGTGATTATTTCCAAGTTGGTTGGTTGGCTGGGGAATTAGCGGTGCCCTTTGGCATCTGGGTCTTGCAGCCTGGTTTATCCTGTTTATGTGACTGAACCCACGCTCAGAGGCGCTGAATCCACCCCTGGGCTCTGTTCGCTCTCCCCACTGCTCTGTGCCCCTGGGCTTCCCCCCAGGCCTCAGCCCAGCTGCTGCAGGGCCTTTCCCTAAGGAATGTGCCTGAGCCATGCCCTTGGATTCACAGAGGTTACCGGCAGCTCAACACAAACGCTCCGCTTTAATTAAGTGTTGCCTTTTATTTTGTGTTTCTTTTGGGCTTTAGGTCTGTGTTGGAAGTGGTAGGACGTGACAAGTGTGCTTTTCTCTCTCTCTCTCTCTCTCTCTCTCTCTCTGTTCCTTCAATACAAAGCTATAATAATCTCAGGATGCCTTGCGGGCGGGGGAGCCGCCGCTCCCGGTGCCCTCGGACACAGACCGTCCCCAGAGCTGGCAGGTCCCGCAGGGTCCTGCAGCCCCGCGGCTCCCACCAGACTCAGCTTCACTGCAGAGTGATGTTACCATGGGACGAGTGCCTTGCTTGAACCAAAGCAACCGTTTTGCCAGTCTAGACCTCTCTGTGCTTTTTTTTATTCTTCCTGTGAATACCTCAGCTTAACTGGGCCGCCGAATCGTACCTGGTGGGCTTTGTACTGTGGTGCTTTGCAATGCAGCCCTGCAAAGAACAGACTCCTGAAAATACCAAAGGCTCTCCTCCTCCTCCTCCTCCTCCCTCTCCCCAGTCTCTCTCTCTCCTTGGTTCCAAAGCTTTATTACAAACTGGGCATGTTGGCAACGCAGACCGTGCAATCCCTCACCGAATTTTCTCAGATATACCTCATAGAGAGTAGCTGTTTAGAGTAATGTTATTATAGCGTATGTAATAAATTATTCACTGTTTCTTTTTGGTAACTGTGATTTAAAAAAAAAAAAAGAAAAAAGAGAAGAAAAAAGCTTTATACGTTTTAGGTTGTGCTTTTGTACTAGACGGAGAAGGTGCGCTTAAAAATGTACGTCAGTCTTTCTTCCCCTTGGGTTTTCTTTTGTTATTATGGATTGGGGAAAAGTTGCAGAATGAGCCCAAAGTTTACAGTTTCATATTTTGCTGAAGAAACAATCTGTGTTCATTTGCTCTGTTGGGGGGGGGGGGAAGAAAAAAAAGGGGAAAAAAAAAGAAAAATGAGGAAAAAAAAAAGGATTATTTTCTACATTTGTGCTACTTGGTCTGAAGAGCTGATTGTCCTGTGTGACGGTGTAGTATTATAATTATAATTATAATTAGCAACTGCCAATCAGCGCTCCCATGTTTATGCATGAGGCAAACCCTTAGCAGTGTGATGCATTGTGGTTCTTAATGGCAACTTATTCCTTTGAGTTTGGGACGAGGTCTTTCTGTTAATGGTATTTATTTATGCATGGAGCCTGTTACCCGTTCGCAGTCGTGGCGCAGTTGTGTTTGCATTGACACTGGGAAAACACGCCCAGTTGTGCCCCGTGGGGGTCACTGCTGCTCAGGGCTGGTGTTCCATCAGCTCTGCGCTGCCCGTGTGTTAAACAGGCCAAATTCAACTCCAGTTCAATGAGACTGCAATTTGAGGAGAAGTTGGGCCAAGTGGCAGCTTCTTCCCAGCCAATTCGATTTGTTCAGTCACGTGAAAATACACGGAGCCAACTGTGCGTTTTTCCCCAGGATCAGGAGTTCCTTTGGCTTTATGGCAGCCCTGGGGCATGGGGGGGACCAGCCAGGGTGGGGGGCTCAGGCTCTGGACAGGGTGGGCGCCCATCCCTGGCCTCACCTGTGACTCCTGCCCAGCACCTGCCGTGCCAGCACAGGTGCCCGGCAGGACACACGAGCGTGGGATCAGCAGCTGTCCCAGCCACGTCCCCCGTCCCTGCGGACAGGCCTGGGATGGGCGTCCATCTGAGCAGTCCAGCCAGGCTCCCGCGCTGCTCCTGCTGGAGGGAGCAGCCCCTCACTCACCCCCTCTGCCCTGGGGTCAGAGGTGTTTGCTAAGGTGCTTTATACCTCTTTATACCCTTTGCTTTGTCCCCCATGTCACCAGCCAGATTCAGGCTCGAACCCCCCGTTTCCGACTGGGTTGTGTTTTCCCCCCGGGTGCAGCTCCTGAGCCCTGCTGTCCCCCCCAGCCCTGGGTCACACTGCACATAAAGCCAAACCAACTGCTCCCTACACTTCACTCTGTGTGGAAGAGTGTGGTCTGGGGAGGGGGGAGCCACAGTCTTCTGAGGAGGCATCTGAGTCCGTCAGTAGAGTGTTGATATCGTCTGTCATTAAGGGTATTTTAGAGATGTGCTTTCATTAGTGCAAAGAGACATTTTTATTTGGCCTTACTCGGTAGGTTGTGATGATAATGAAAGCTGTGTAATATAGTCAGGTTATTTTCTTTCCTTATTTCTCTGCCAAAGACAGTAATGGATACAAGAACTTTAAACAGGGGTTTTTGTAAGACAGTTGATGATTGTAACAGTGGGTAATCTTCCAGAAAGCTTTCCATGTTCTTCCGCAATAAGCAGACCCGGGATGGTTTGGGCAGATCCCACCACTCCTCACCGACACGCGGCTGTTGTAAAACCTACACCTGCATTTCTCAGTCCAAAGGCAACAAGGGGTATGTGAGGCCATGGCGGCGGCACCGCGGGGCACGAGCTGTTCCAGCTGCCTGCCGTGTGCCAAGGTACTTGTATTATGAAATTTAAGGTCTATTTTATTATGTCATTTTATGTCATTTTTTAACTTTGTGGAAGGTGATATGTTGAACTGAGTGTAAGCTGAGTTTTTCAGACAAATAAAGTAGCTAAAGAGTGAATGTTATTTTATCATTAAAGGGTTTTTACTCACTGATTTGTGCCAATAGATGTCCTTTATCTCAATGACAAGTATTACATTGCTTTCAAAGTTTTATTTATAGCTATTGATGTAAAACCCACACACACATATTATTTGCCAAAGTTCAATAAAGGAGGAAAACAACACTATTGCTTCCTTGTGCGATCAAAAGTTCCTATTTTTTTCCAGGGTTTTTTCCACCACAGCCCAATCCCACACCATGGGGTGGGGTGGAGTCAAGCCTGGGCTCGGTCTGCTACTGCTCTCAGGGATATGGATGGGTGAGGAGAGCTGAGCACAGCCAGAATAATGTAGGACCACAGCCCAGAAATGCTGCTTGGGATGGAGGGCCTGGCCAAGTGAGCAAAAAGTACTTGGAAAAAGATCTGGCACCTTCTCTGATGATGTTAGAGGAGAAATCCCTTTATATTTATGTAAGTCCTGGAACTACATGATGCAGCATAATTACCATAAAATTAAGTAAATTATTGCACTTTCATTCCCTGAAGCAACTCTACAGGAGGCAGGAGGTTCCTGGAGCTGAAATTCCATGGCAAGGAGGATGTAGCAGGTTTCCCTTCAGTCAGTCAATCATTCATTCACCCCACCTATGGGCAAGTCTGGTTTGTCTCCTGGACTAATCTCATCATAAGCAGATCAAAAGCGAAACAGAATGCACAAGGAAAAGCACTTTCCTGTGCTTCTCCTAAAAAACCAAACATACAACCGATCCTTTCCTCCCCCAGCTCTCTCCAGCTCCATCCCTCTGCCCACTCGGAGCCAGGGGCAGGGTTAGCCAGGGGAGGGCACAAGTAGGACCCCAGACCCTCACAGACACCTCCACTTCCCATCCCCAGGGCAGCAACAAGGCACTGCACAGTTTGTTATCTGGGATCTAACCTTGGCACCCAAGTTTCACCTTGGGGTTAATAAACTGACTGAAAAATTTGTTTTCATGCTCATTCTCTCCGTGTCGCTCTTCTCTCACACTGAGCCAGATTCTGCCATTAATTACATTTACGCTGCCTCATTTCACCCTGTTGAGTGGTCACGGGTGCAGATAAAGGCAGACGTGCCTCCTCAGCACTTTGTGTCACAGAGCCCGGAACGTGGCTCTGCCAGGCTCCTTCCCTTCACCCTCTGCCTGGGGAGTGCAGGGGGATCCTGTGGCACAGGAGTGCCCTGAGCCCTCCATACCCCGAGCTCCAAGCGCCCCCGGGGCTGAGCCAGGAAGAACACTCTGCCTTAGGGGTGTTTTCCCAAGCCCCCTTCCTAAGCAGCCTCTCCAGGGCAGGGAGAGGAGCACGTGAGCCACCGGGAGGGGAAAATCACCGTCACAGCAAAGAGGGAAAAGCAGTGACACCGAGACTAATGCAGCCGCGGCAGGTCATTTCCATTTCACTTGCGGGATCGTTCTCCCGGGAATGCATTTTCCAGGCACTTAGCAGTGGGCACAGCTGGGAGAAGGAAATGGGACCATTTCATTAAGCTGCCAAAAAGCTGAAGGATGAGCTGGGTGGGTGGCAGGATTGCAGCTGGGCTGGGATGCTGTACCAGCATCAGCTTGTCCCAGTGCCAGGCACTGGGGTCCAGGGCTGACTCTGTACCCAGGGTGAAGGGATCAACTTCCCTGTCCCCGCTGGAGCTCATTTTCGTGACCTCCCCTCAACTCACTAACCCTGCCAGGGATCACACAATTATTCCAGCTTAAAATGCGTTAAAGCCCCTCAGATTGCTCACCGGTGATAAAAAACAAACCACCAAAACAGCACTTCCATCGCAGGGGTGCAGGAAGACCCCGTGGTAGCCAGGCTGGATGGTGTCCCTGGCCCCCGGAGAGTGGTGGGGACCCAGCGGTGCTCCCCAAAACCTTCACCCGCATTGCAGGGCAGAGCAGCCCAGCCCCGAGGAGGGGCTGCCACCTCCTCCTCCTCCTCCGGCAGTGCCGGCAGTGCATCCGTCAGGACGAACTTGACAGTAATGATCTGCCGTGCGGGACCCGCAGGGAGCACAGCGCGGGCCCCTCCTGACTGCAGATGAAGTGCCGGCAGCTTCCCCGATCCCAACGCTCCGCAGCACTTCAAGCCCTGTGGGCATTCCCGCAGGGAATGCTGCACACCCGCACCAAGGAGGGGGGGGGGGGAACAGCAGGAGCTTCTGCAATACCAGTGATATGTATTTTCGGCACATGTGGGATGGCGGTGCTTAAAGAAAACAACCAGGAACTACAAAAACACTGGAGACCGGCGGCACAGCAGGGTGGGACGGTCGGGTGGGAACAACACTGTCGATGCCCCCCCCCCCAGAGAACAAGGCAAGGGCAGCTCTGCCTGCACAGGTTGCACCCTCTGGGAGCTGCCTTTGGCCTCCACACAAACCTACGGGAGCGACTCCAGGGTCCGGCGCAGAAAGGGATAATGGCAGGAAGCCATAAGATATTAAACCAGCAGATTAAAACAAACAAGACCACTTTGGGTCATGTTACACATCCCTTCCCTCCCGGCTGACAGCAAAGAAATGCAAGGCAGTAAAAGACAATCGTAGCCCATAATGGCCCAATAACTCCGGGATAAAAGCGCTGGGGGAGTTGGCTGTGAGGAGCTCCCCCACCCCCGGAGCCGCTCCGAGCATTATCCCTTAAGTGCTCATTTAAGCTTCCTTGGAAGCGCCGCCTGCCCGCTGGAGAAATGCAATTAGGCCTAGATTGCGGGTGATGTTCACACGTTATGGATCATCCTTAAAATTGACAGGGAAAGAATGAGCGAGGGCTCTGGATTCCACATGACAGCTCCCTCTCCTCCATCCTTCCAGGAGGAAAACCAGCCCCCAGCAACACGCCCACCCTGTTCCCACAGACACGGGCAGTGAGGGCAGGGACCTGCGTGCTGCTGGTCCACGGGCAGCATCGAGGGCCAGCCCTGCCAGGGCACCACAGGGGACAACAAACAGGCCTCCCCAAAGTGTACAGGCTTTCCCAGAGGGCGCACACCACACATCGCCCTCCTGTCAAAATTAACAGCAGCAAACGATCTCACACCCCCTCATGAGTTTCGAACTCCTCAAGCAGGACCCTCCCTGTGCCCACACGGGCACAACAGGCCTACCCACAGGGCACAACAGGCCTCCCCACAGGCTTTCCCAGAGAGCGTACACCACGCATCACCCTCCTGTCAAAGTTAACAGCAACAAATGATCTCACATCCCCTCATGAATTTCGAATTCCTCAAGCAGGACCCTCCCTGTGCCCACACGAAGCTTGGCAATGCCCTTTGCAAAAGTGTTTGCACGCCCAGCAATGTCTCCGAGCCCCAGCCAGCCCTGGAACTGATTCCCGCCCCCTCCCCGCCCTCAGGTGAATGTACCTGCTCTGCAGTTCCAGGATTCTCCGTATCCCACATCCCGGCGCTGTCTGGGGAGGCGCTGCTGTTCCTGATGCTCCGTCCGGGCCCGGTCCCGCTGTGCTTTCAGCTCCGCCCGGGGGTTTCAGCCCCCGCCGCCGGGCCTGGCTGCCCGAGGCACCGTGAGGGGCACGGAACTTTCCCGCCCATTCCTGAGGGGCGCGAGGCGCCCCCAGCCCAGCAGGGGGCAGCGCAGAGGGAGGGTCTCGCGCAGCCCTGAGGGGCGGGAGCCTCCCACAAACCGGCAGGGGGTAATTGTTTCAGTTTTATTTATTTATTTCAGGTTTATTTATTTATTTCAGGTTTATTTATTTATTTCAGGTTTATTTATTTATTTTTTTATTTCAGTTGATTCCTTTGTGGAATTCATCTCTGCTCTGGAGCCAGGCTGGGAGAGCTGGGGGCGTTCACTTGGAGAGGGATCCAGGGACATCTGAGAGCTCCTTGCAGGGCCTAAAGGGGCTCCGGGAGAGCTGGAGAGGGACTGGGGACAAGGGATGGAGGGACACGACACAGGTAATGGCTTCCCACTGTGCCAGAGGGCTCCAACAGGTCCATGCCCCACCCCTGCAAATGTTCCAGGCTAGGCTGGGGGGGACATGGAGCAACCTGGTTGAGTGGAAGGCATTCCTGATCCTTAAAATCCCTTCCAACCCAAACCATTCCAGGCTTCTGCTCTCATTCCTGCCCATTTCCAAACAGAAAGGAAGAAATTCCTTAAACAGTGAAAGATTTCCGGCTACTGGGCAATAAATCATCAGCAGGGATTTACTGACATCCATGAAAACCAACATGTTTCAGTCCAGTTTTATTCCACAAGCATATTTACACTGGAATTGTAACCCATACACGGGGCGGGGATTGCTGGAGAAGCAGACACTGGAGCCAGTCACACGGTGACTTCCATCACCCCACTCTCATCCAGGTGTCCCATCGTGTCACCTTTTGCTTGGGAACTGCCAGGGAAGCCACGGACACCTCTACATTTACAAGGACGAGGCCAAACACAGCGTTAACAATGGACACAGCATGGAAAGCTCACACTGGAATGACAACAGGGCCAGGAATACCCACTGGGAAAGACAGAACTTCCCAGCAGTTTGGGTTCAACATTCCTAATGGTCTGAATTTCCTGCTTTTGAATTGAAACAGTAAATAGATATGGAGCTCCTGGGCTGCAAATCTCACCTGAGCACTGCACATAAGAATGAAATAAATGCATTTTATCCTTAGAAGCCATTTGAGAAATTAATTTTATTCTTTTTTGATTCTCTAAGTACCGTTTTTTGTTTAACATGTAGGGCCAGCCTCAGTTCCAAGCTCTGCAGCCAAGGAAAAGCTGGACAAACAGACATTTAAGTAAAATAGCATTTGAGAGAATCTTCTCTGTCCCATGAGCAGAAACCAGCAAATTTCACACTAAATATTCCACAAAATTAGATATGTAAGAAGGAAACACAGTCACAGCCAGTGTTACACAGGAATATTCCTACTGACGGAAATATTTCAGTATATCCAGTCAATAATTCACTTTTTCCACAGTTTTTGATCATTTCTCCAGCCCAAATGGCTCCTCTCAGTCCTTTATTTAAATAAATACCTGCATTGGTAGCAAAAACCACCTTTATATATAAATACTCCTTTTTTCCAAGTTTGCTGTTCCATTTAAAGATATTTTTAAATTATTTATTTACACTATTATTTTTCCTTCTGGACTGGGCACAGCAGCACTTCCAATTCCCTCAGAA